GTGGATCCCCCCTGTCTCCAGGAAAGAAAAAGTGACTAGAAGAAGTACTAATGATACCACCTCATCTCAAACTCAGTGCTTTCTGTTCAATGAGAAAAGTCTGTATTGTTTTCCCCAATAACACGGTCTGACACCCCAGGGTGTGGCTGGAGAGCTGAGAGCTTCTGAACATGAAGCTTGTTCTCCCACCCCTGCTGCCCTGAGGAATGTGGGTCCTTTCCCTCCCCATCACTCAGGTGACAAAGGTCAGATGAAGGGTGCCTAGAAGAGAGGAGAGAGATGCAGCAGGAGTCCTGGAGCTTCCAGCCCAGGAATGGAGACACCCATGGAGCTGGCCAGGTGGACCTGCAGCCTGGAGTCCACCTGCATCAGCCCAGCCCAGGCGAGCCCACTGGACCAGCTGTGCCCAGTGTGCTTCAGACTGACAGCGGAGAAAGAAAATGTGCACAGAGTCCCTGAGATGCTGGGTGTTTGCTTTGAAACACGATTGCAATAGACTCTCTGGAGGCCACAGGCCACGGGTAGACCCTGCTGGCCCCAAAGTCCCCTAACAGACACAGCCTCTCCTGTCCAGCCTCAGAGGACACAGACCCTGCAGGAGAGGAGTGAGCACACCTGGAAACCCCGGTGCAGCTCAGATGCGGCACAGAGGTGAGTGGGCCTTCTCAGCATCGCCCCACATGAACTTCTCTGAGAAACGCGGAACCTGCCCATCGTCCCCTGACAGCACCGCCCGTGGGAACTGGGAAGAGTGCTGCTGGGAAAGGACCTGAGACCTGAGTGTCCCAGGAGCCAGGACAGGTGGCGGGGGTCTGCGCCCTCCCTGTCACACCTTCAGTGGGCTCTGCTGTCTAAGACGTTAGCAAAGGACCACAGTGACCCTTTACTTCCTGCACCCCTTCCTCTCCTCACACATTGTCACGTGCTAAATTTGTCTGAAGCAGGTGTACACAGGAGATCCTGCTCACACACACCCACACCCAGAGGGGATTCCAGCAGTGGACCACACAGAGAGACGCAGAGGGTCGGAGTCAGGGCTGGGGCTGGTTTACATCTCTCCTTCTAACACAAAGTCCAAGTTCATGCCTAACTAGCCTCTGGGTGTCCACCCAGCAACTGATAAGACACAGGGCTCTGAGCCACTCAGCAAACAAGTGTTTCCAAGAGGGACTTTGCTCTGTTTCTCCCAGCAAAGAAGCTTTTTTGGTCCCCACCCTTCCTTCCAGGTCAAAGACTAACCTATGATAGAGAACCATGAAGTGCCCCTGCTCTGTGACTCTCAGCTGGGAGAGCCGAGGGTAATTGGAGGGAGCTGGTGAAAGCCAGGCCCTCTTAGGAGGGAGGCTGAGAAGCTGGGGGAGCCTGCAGGTGTCCCTCACCCAGAGAAGGAGTGTGGCCCTGTGAGCCTGCAGGTGAGGGCACAGGGGGGAGCACGCAGCCAGGGCAGGTGAGTCTGTGCTGGGAAACCTGTGGGAGGGAGTCACCCGGGACCACGATGCTGGACACCTGCCCATCTCTAGAAACTTCCTGAGGTCAGAGAGGACAAAGACCCCTCACAGTGTCTCCTGCTCATCCCAGAGAGCACGTTCCTAGATATTGGAGAAGAGAGATGGATACCAAACCCAGGTTCGGCTGCCTGGTGCTCATAAGCCAATAATGGAGAGACAGGGACTGGTGGGAGAAAAGCAGGTCTATTCAAGGGTCTGCAGATTGAGAAGGTGGGGATCCCACCTGAGAATTGGACACAGGGAGGTATTTTTGTAAGGAGAAAGAAAAAAGGAAAAAAAACTCAGCAAAGACATAGAAAGGAGGGTGTTGGGAGTTTGGCATCAAAGGTTCAGTGAGCAAACAACACTCTCTTTTCCGATGACTGGGGAGGCCAGCAAGTCTCCAGAACTGAATGTCTGAAGCCAGAGAAGCTTCTTTTGAAGTTAGTGTCTAGAATTGTAAAGCAAACGGCTATTTATTTGTGGTCACATATATCTTAGCAGATAATCACTTAGGGAAAAAAAGTTAAAATGCTGGGGTGTGTTATAATGTTTGTGCCTTAGAGATTTACATGTAAAAATGTTTATTACAGAATTGTTGATAACATAGAAAAATCTGAACCGATCACATACACATCAGTTGGAAAATAGATCAACATCACATCATCTGAGCAGAGAGGCAATTTCCATTCCTGTGTCTGCTGACCTTGCACACCTCCTCTGTGGAGAATAGTCTAGTGTGCACTTTTTAAACCAAATTATTTGGGTTTTTTAGTGTTAAACTGTCTGAGTTCTTTATAAATTCGAGGTATTAATGCTTTATTGGACGCATCATTGGCAAAAACCTTCTTCCATTCAGTAGCTTGTCTTTGTTCTGGTGATGATTGCCTTTGCTGTACAAAACCATTTTAGTTTGAGGGGGTCCCATTTGTTCCCTTTTCCATTTGTTACTCTTGCCCAAGGAGATGTGTCCATATTCCTGAGCGGTGTCAGACAGTTTATTGCTCATGTATTTTTTTTACTTTCATGGTTTCAGGTTCTACATTTAAAGGCTTAGTCCATTTTGTTTTTATTCTTGTACAGGTAGAAGGAAATGATCCACTTACACTCTTTTGCAGACAGTTGTCGAGTTTTCCTGACATATTTAAGGGACTGTGTTGTTTTAAGAGCGGGGTGACCGTTGTCTGTTCCTGCCTTCTTTGTCATAAATTAATTCATCAATGAGTGAGGGCTCCTTTCTGGGCTCTCTGTCCTGTCTCACTGGACTATGAGTCTGTTCTTGAGCCGGAGCTTTGATATCAGGGAGCGCCATGCCTCCAGTTCTGTTGTTTTTCAAGGTTTCCTTTGTATTCTGGGTGTTGGTGGATCCATATGGACTTTAGGACAAATTGCAGTTCTGAGAAGAAGGCCATTGGTTTCTGCTTCTATTTAACGGGGATTTGCTGTGAATCTGACGTTTTGCCCCTGTGGCTCCTCCAACCCAGGGACACAGAGCCTCACCCACTGATCTGCACCCTCTTCAGTCTCTCTCTTCCTGACTGACAGTCGTCAGGAGACAGGTCTCTACCCTCTGTGTGTAAATTTGTCCCTAGGTATTTTATGCTCTTTCGTGAGCTTGTAAAAGGGATTTCAACATTTTCCTTTTTGGATTACTAATTATTGCAGTTAGAAATGCAACTGGATCCTGATTTTGTATTCTGCACTGTTACTCAACTCATTCAGTACTTCTCATAGTCTTTAAATTTTTTTCGTGGAGTCCTCAGGCTTTTCTATATATCGTATGATGTCATCTGTAAACAGTGAGAGTTTTCCTTTCCCTTTATGGTTTGTATGCTTTTTGTTTCTTTGACTTGACTGATCACTGTGGCTAGGACGTCCGATACTGCATCAGATAGAAGGGGTGAGAGTGGACGTCCTTTTCTCATTCCTGATCTTAGAGGAAAAGCTTTCAGCTTCTCCCCATTGGGTGTTATGTCAGTTGCTGGTTTAGGAATCATGTTTAAGTACAGAGTTCTCATTTTGAATTGTAACAAATTGAACCCAATATGGGCACTCAAACTGTATGTACATTTTGCTGTTGCTGAGTTTACTATGATCAAGAGCTTTAAATATAACCCTTGGTGTTCATGCCTGATTTCCTTTCTTTGAGAGCTATTCCTGCCATTGGAATTTGTGAGTCAAGGGATAAAATATTTTTAAAGCATTTGGTACATACATGTGGCTAAAGTACATCTAGAATATTCACTTTCCTATAAAATAAAGTACAAGATTACCATCATAAATTATTTCTACTTTATCCTTTTACCTTTAAATATATATATATAGTTTTTTAGATTTTATTTACTATGTTTAGAGGGGAAGGGAAGGAGAAAGAGGTAGAGAAACATTGATGTATGGTTGCCATTCGTGGGTCCCCTGCGGGGAATTGGCCTGCAGGGAACTGGCTTGCAACCCAGGCATGTGCCCTGATGGGAATAGACCCTCAGTTGTCTGGTTCCCTGTCCCGCGCTCACTCCACTAAGCTACACCAGCCAGGGCTTACCTTTTTATATTTTAATATTGTCTACACTCAGAAATAAAAAACAATCAATATCCACGCAAATAAGCAGAAACGTATTCCCCACTCTGAAAACTTTTAAACTTTAAAACATTCCGAGAATTCTAAGTACAGAGTGCCCAGGACTGGGCTCCTGCTCTGGATGGAATGGGAGCCCCTGGGAGGGGCTGAGCAGGAGGGAGGGGAGGGGTCAGGACGTCCTGGCTGCTGTGCGGAGCGTGGCCTGCAGGGGGCAGCAGAGGGACCGGTCACTCAGAGCAGAGGCGCCTGCCTTCCTCAGAGGGTGGTGCTGGGTGGCCACCTGGCTGTTGCAGGGACCTGAGGGTGAGGGGAGGGCTTCTGAGCTCCTTCGCACAGGAAAGCGCAGGACTCCTCGGTGGGGAGGGTTCAGGTACATACATTTACCGTCCGTGTTTCATGGGTGATTTCCCAGTTGGAATCCAAGGTGAAGAGACTTCCCAGGGGACATTTGCAGAGGAGGCTCTGGGTCAGCAGCCATTGGGCTTGCAACCCCTGGTCAGCCCTGGGGAGGCAGCGTCTCCATGTGGATTCTCCACCTTGCAGGTGGTCATTGCTACCAAGCCCCTCCTGGTGTCTCTCTGTCTGCACAGCAGGTAACCATGGTGAGCTGCTTGGTCCTCCCCCTGCCTGCCCTCCCTGTCTGCCTCGCTGTGGTCCAGCTGCTCAGGCCCTGCTCAGGTAGGACCTGCTCTGTGTTTGTGCATCTGAAGCCTTTACCTTTGGGCCCAGTCAGAAGCCTGGACTCCCCCCATCCCTGCAGAGGCCCGTCCAGATGCACCTGTGTTAGGACCCAGTTCCTGTCTAGGTGTCTCTCACCTTGTCCTCCCTGCTGGGTCACCCCCTGGTCCGCTGCTCCCAGCTTTCTCTGACAGTGCCCCTCCTTCTGATGAGCAGCTCAGTTTGCTGTGGTTGGACCCCCTGAGCCCATCCTGGCCATGGTGGGTGAAGACGCTGAGCTGCCCTGTCACCTGTTCCCAAAGATGAGCGCTGAGCACATGGAGCTGATGTGGGTGCGATCCAGCCCCAGGCAGGTAGTGCACACGTATGCACACGGGCAGGAGGACACGCCCGCAGCAGAGTATGGAGGGAGAACTTCGATTTTAAGGGAGGACATCACTGCGGGGAAGGCTGCTCTGCAGATTCGAGATGTCAGAGCCTCTGACAGAGGAACCTACCTCTGTTATTTCCAAGATGGAGATTTCTTTGAAAATGCCCAGGTGCAGCTGGAGGTTGCAGGTGAGTCAGGTGTGATCTGTGCTCCTTTCCTGTGGGGTCAAGGGCAGAGGCTCCAAGCCCACCTGAGAGCACTCTGGCTCCTCACCAGCACCTGCCCCTCTTCCTCCATCCCTGCTCCTCTGAGGTTCATGACAGACCCAGGTTGTGCCCCAGGAAGGGCTCGTCCTTCATCCAGTAGAGTCCCTCATGCTGCCCCCCAGGTCTCAGCAGGGATGTGGAGGTTGGTGACAGGAAGGAAGAGGGGACCTTCTCCGCAGTGGGTGGTACACAGGTGCTTGGTTCAGTTTGGTGTTTCAGGTCATGAAAACACTTCCTGTCACCTCTCCTCTGGTTTAGGGGTTACATGCAGGGGTAAAAAAGGCACGGTTCCTGGCTGTAAGTCAGCTCTCTTCCACGTCATCATTTTCCCCTACCAACAACCATAGGGTGAGTGTTTCTCTATGTGATAGAACCTAAAAGGAGGCTGAGAACTCTGCTGTTAGTTACACGAAGGCTTTCCCAAGGGGACTACACAGACCTCAGCTTGGGCAGCAGAAGGACAAGTGGATGTCTCTCCCCCACATGGCAGGGTGAAGGCTCACACAGGAGAGGCAGGAAGGACTGGGGCTCTGGGCTGTGCACTGTGCAGCTGGAAAGGAACTGCTTCCCTGCTTGCCAGGCTGGGGTGACAGTGTGTTCCTGGCAGCAGCTTGTCTGAGGTGTGGGGGAGGGGAGGGTCCTGCAGACTCTAAGGGATTTAGGGGAAGCGACCTCTGCTCTGGCCCAGAGATCCCTGGATCCAGTACAAGGGTCCAGCGATGGTCAGGCAGTGGTCACACCTTGGGTCAGTCTCTCCTGCACAGCTCACTCTGGGAACAGCTCCTGGTGAACGAACCCCTGCTGCACTCACCGTTGGTGGGTGTGCCCCTCCCCAGCACTAGGCTCTGATCCCCACATTGAAATGAAGGGCTACGAGGCTGGAGGAATCCAACTGGAGTGCTTGTCTGCTGGCTGGTACCCGCAGCCCCAAATCCAGTGGAGAGACACCAGGGGACACGGCTTGCCTGCTGAGGTGGCCACAGAGGCTGCAGACCCCCAGGGCCTTTATGCAGCCTCAGCCTCTGTGATCCTGGAAGGCAGCTCTGGGCAGGGGGTCTCCTGTGTCATCAGAAACCCCCTGCTGGGCCAGGAAAGGTCGGCCATGGTTTCCATTGCAGGTGAGTGCCCTGCCCACTGCCCTGGGCTCCTGGGTGTCCCCTGGGGGAAGGCACCCTTGTCTGCTGCTGACCTGGGTCTCTGCAGGGAACAGAAGGGACAGAGCAGGGACCTGGCGCTTCTTCCCCATGGAGGTGTTTATGTCACAGACACCTGAGGGCTAACTCCCTTGAAATGTGAAACTTTCCAGTAAAAATAAAGAAATGTCAGGAATTTTCAGTTCAGAGAAAAGGAAATAACTCTCAGAGAAAAGGATTTCCAATCTCACTGAGTACAGAAACGTTCAACCTGTGAGATTGTCAACAAAACAAAGAAGGAGGTGGTTGGGAGCACATGCACCCAGCAGGATTGTGGGTAGACAGTCACTCTAGACATTTGTTGCAATTATTTGCTATATCGTTAGTATAATTTTCACAATTTCTATAGGGGTAAAAGAACATTCCTTATCCAACATACATATTTATGAGTCCAAATCCCACCTCTGGGAGTCCATCTGACTGATCAGTTTTGTGTGAAAAGTCCCATATAGAAGGTTATTTCCTGCACCATTAACTGTAACAACAAAGTGTCAGAGATGGTGCAAGGCCCCCGCTGGGCCGTGTGTGCAGTGGGCGCTGCCCTGTGAGAGCAGACGCAGACCTGCTCCCTGTGCTGAGGTGGGAAGGTCGCCGAGACCCAGGTGAGCAGAGAGAACAACAGGTGGGCCCGCTGGTATAGAGTGCTGTCTTAGGTGCACAGAAAAATGTATAAGAATATGTTTATATATTTTTAATTTAAGCAACCCTTGCATGGCACTCACTATGTGTCAGGCACTGTGTAACCGGGCACTCGTACTGAACAGGGAACCGGGAACAGGTGGTTAAGTTACTAGTTCAAGGTCATAGAGCTAGTCAGGCCGAAGACCTGGAAGTTGAACCCAGGGCCACCAGCCCCAGGGTCATGTTCTTCATCACCAGATCAAGCTGACTCAGGAGAAACCAATCATAGGGGATGGAGGGATCAGAGAGTGCACTTGAATGACTTTGTAAGAGACATTTCAGGAAAACAGTCCTTTTATGTGACTGTAAGAATTCAGGGCCCCTTGGGAAGGGAAGGATCACTTTCTGTCCTGAGTTGCCCCTCAGGGCCAGCAGCTGATGCTTAACCGTCTGCAGGTCCATTCTTCCGGAGCGTGGAGCCCTGGGCGGTGGCCCTGGCGGTGCTTCTGCCTGCTCTGCTCTTTCTGCTGCTGGGCACGTGGTGCTTCCTGCGGCAACACAGGAAGATCCGGGCCCTGACCAAGGAGAAGGAGAGGGAGCGAACACAGAAAGAAGCAGCGGAGGCAGAGATGCAGCAGCAGAGAAGCGCCATGGGTGAGGGACACTGTAGGTGGTCTTAGCCTCCCAGCCTCAGCCAGCACACACCACAGGGGTCCTCCCCACGACCCCCTATCAGACTTTCTCTTTCTGTTCATTTCCAGAGAGCCTGCAAGCCGAGCTCAGTAAGTCCCTATCCTCCGCCCTCCTGTCCCGAGGTCCCTGGTGAAGTGAATCACCCACTCCTGGCATTGTTCCCTGCAGGTTGGAGAAAGATCCAGTACCTGGAGCGTGAGTACCCGGACCCGCACCTCAGCCTCTGTCTGCTCCGATATTTCAGCCCCTTTGCGCACCCGTAGCGGCCCAGAGGAGGAAAGGAGGACCCAGATGGGGAGCAGGCAGTGGTCTTCCTCAGTGGGGAAGGGGTTACAGGGTCTGTCCACCAGGGGGCGCTCGAGTAGGGATACCCCAGGACCCAGAGAGGAGAGGGGGCAGGGAGGTGACTCAGTATGTGAGTGCTCCCCTGCCTGGTCGGTTGGTAAAATCCGTGATCCACTGAGAAGAAAGGCAGAAGGAGAGAGAAAAGTGTCTTAAAAATGGGAGTAGCCAATGTCACTTGTCACAGAGTTCTCGCAACTGCTGCAAAAATAGTGCCTGAAATTTCACATTAAGTGGCCCAGTTGTTTCCGGAGTAGGAAGGAAATCATACAAGTTGAGGGGGTGGATTCTGGTACACAGGAACACACACGTGTGCCCAGGCCGAGGGAATGAATGCCCAGGTACATCCAGGGTGACAGGTCACCCCTTATGCAAGGGGGGAGTCCAAGGCCCCCAGTGGGTGTGACCTCAGATAGCACCAAACCTGAATATACGAGGTTTTTTCCCCTCCTTTTATTTTTAAACGAGATTTCTTCTTTACTTATAAGAAGAGGGGGAGGAAGGGATAAAGTGAGGGGCACAAACACGGATGCGGGGGACACACCTTGATGGCCGGCCTGTCTCCCACACTCCCCGGGGGCCCGGCCCACAGCCCAGGCCTCTGCCCTGAGCACACCACCCACTGAGCCCCACAGTCAGGGGGTTTTTCCTTTTCACATTATGAAGGCTTCTCCTTGGCCCAGCAGCACTGCAAGCATCACTGCTCTTGGACTTTGGGGTCATTCCTGGGTGAAACAGGGGTGACTGGACACCAGTGCTGTGACACCGGGACTGTCCGTCTGTCACAGACATGCTCCCAGTGACTCAGGGGGGAGCTGGGTGGACCTGCAGGACTCAGGGAGGATTCAGGAAGGGGCTGGTCGGAGGGGACAGCAGAGGAGGTCATCACACTTCTCAGTGTCGTGTGCGGGCGACAAGTTGTGAAGTGTTTATTTCTAGAATTTTCCATCTAATATTTCTGACTTCAGTTGACTGAAGGTAACTGAAACTTCAGAGCCTAGAGCGGGGCTGTGAGGTGACTGCTGTACAGACAGGGACAGGACAGCTGTGCGGTGACCCTGGGACAGCCCGTGCAGGGCGCCTGGGGGTGCTGAGCTGCAGCTGATGGAAGAAAGAGGGGGAGCCGGGGAGGGAACAGGCAGAGGGAGAGGTGGGGAGGGTGGGGGGCACACAGGAAGATGATGGGGGACACGTGAGACAGAAAGGATCTGACTCAGAAATGACAGTTCAGGTGACACTCTTTCTCCATTGCAGGTGAGGACCGGTCTCAGGCCTATGCAGGTGAGTGAGTCTGCTGCTCTCTGGTTTCCTGGCTCCTGTGTGGGAAGCATGTGCAGCCTTTCCCTGCTGGGTGAGGAGGGACCACATCCAGCTCAGAAGCTCATTTTCTGTGGCTGAACCGCCCCCTCCTGTGTGGACACTCAGAGAGGACCTTCCAGATGCAGTGTCCCCTCACCCTGCTCACACACACACACACACCTGGCACAGCCTGGTCAAGTCCCCAAGGCCCCAGCCTGATGAAGGGAATCCCAGCACTGGGAGAGGTTTCAGCCTGGTCCGCAGAGCTGTAGACGAGGAGAGTGGACATTGGAGGAGACTGAGGAGAGGAGAGAGAAGGGGCGCAGTGACCACAGTGGGTGGGGGAGGACAGAAAGAATGACCTTTCCTTGTCTGTGTCTCCTTCCTTCCAGACTTGAAGATGGCCCTCTTCCAGCCTGGTGAGTGGATCTCTCTGTGTCCCCAGGACAACCCCCAAGGGCCCCTGCTCCCTCTTTCCTCTCCGAATATTAATGGGGGCAGTGCTATGTGGGGGGAGACCAGAGGTCATGGTCTCAAAGGTGTCCCCACCTGCTGAGAGCCCAGGGACCACGGACAGTGACTGTCCTGGGGTCCACAGGTCTCTATGGGAGGAAGAGGCAGGAGGGGTGGGGCTGGAGGGAGGGGCTGTGGGGAGGAGGGTGTGACCTGACCAAGCTCCTGCCCCTGCTGCTGCCACTTGTGTCCTCCAGTTATGGCGTGTTCCAGAGTCACACCTGCTCTGTGAGGGTTGGGACAAGGACTGAGTGAGGTGATGACTGGGTGTTGGTCAGGACACCCACAGGAAACAGACGGCCTATTTGAAGGGGTGTTTGTCTGTCAGTTGTGACCACAGTGATGAGGAGGTATCTCTCCCCAATAATTATGAATGTGTGTATGTATATATGTATGTATACAGAGAAGGGAGGGGAGGGAGAAAGAGAGAAATATCGATGTGACAGGAAAACTTCGATCCCCTGCCTCTAGTATGCGCCCCAACCCTGGGCATGGACACAGGACTGAGGCGTGTGCAGTGGCCTGGAATCGAACCTACAGCCTTAGCTTTGCAGGATGAAGCACATCCAACTGAGCTGCAGGGGTCAGGGTGGTGGAAGGCATCTGAAGACTTACAAATAGGCAGGCGACTCCTGAGACTGTAACACACTGAGTTGTGGGCTGATTCACTCTCAGGGCTCCAGGGTCAGAGCGGACAGAGGACCCCGCAACCTGCACAGATTATCCACTGACTACACACCCCTCACAGCACTTTTTCACACTGTAACTCGGGCACCAATGACTGACAGGAACAGGGACAGAGAATGTGGCAGCACCAGACTGGCCCTGAGCACAGAAGGGACGTGGTGTCTGACGTCACACCAGGCACTTCCTCTGCCTGGCCTGGGGCTCAGTGTACCACTCACTTGTCTTACTTGATCCCAAAGATTAGTATTTTCAACCCCATAGTATTTATATAAAATGAGAGTCAAGATATTTCATAGCTGGTGTCTATGGAAAGAGCGACTGTGCAGAAAAAGACATCACAGCTCAGGGGGCAGTGCCAGGGCTGATGTTTAATCCATGTGACGGCACAACACAGGTAGACACGGAGTTTGCACGCGGACAAACTGGAAAAAGTCAACCTCAACCCTCCTCACCCTCCCCTTCCTCAGTGCACACAAGACCTCTGGGGGTTCTCTTGGCATGGCTGAGGGTCACATCCAGTGCAGGGTGGGGACCCAGGCTCTGGTCCCTCACCTCCTGCCATGACTGAGGTCTTGACAGCTATGCCTCTGTGGGCTGAGCCCGCACTCTCCCAACCCTCTGCAGTGGATTTGATTCTGGATCTGGACAGCGTGCACCCCAAACTCTGTGTGTCTGAGGACCAGAGGAGCCTGCGGCCAGCAGAGAAAGAGCAGAACCTGCCTGACCACCCGAAGAGGTTTTCCTGGCATTACAGTGCCCTGGGCTGTAAGAGCTTCAGATCAGGGAGACATTTCTGGGAAGTGGATGTGAAGGACAGGAAACAGTGGCAAGTGGGGGTGTGTAGGCAGAATGTGGAGAAAAAAGTTAGGGTGAATATGAACCCTGAGAATGGATTCTGGGTTGTGGGGCTCTATCCTGAGAATAACTACCGAGCTCTCACAGAACCCCAGACCAAACTGACAGTTGTCGACTCTCCCGCGAGGGTGGGGGTTTTCCTGGACTATGAGCTGGGGGAGGTCTCGTTCTACAATGCCATCGATGGGTCTCACATCTTCACCTTCCCACCCACCTCCTTCTCTGGGCCCCTGAGGCCTATTTTTGGGATTTCAACATTTGAGTCCACTCCCTTGACCATTTGCCCAGCGCAGAAAGCAGTGGGAACGTCCATTGTGCCTGACCCAGGCCCTGACCCTTCCCTGGAGACCCCAGTGTCCCAGGGCTCAGCTGAAGGGAATGGGGACCCTCAGGCTGAAGAAACGTCTCTGCTTCTCGCTGCCCAGCCTGGACCTGAGGGCCTCCTTAACTGCAAAATGTCTCAGCAAGAAAACACTAAAGACACACTGAGTGAAGGACTTTACTAACATCCATTCAGCATTTCCAGATGAGAAAAAGGATGAGTCACAAAAGGGGAATTAACTTTCCAAGGATGACTCAGTCAGCTTTGAACAGCAATACCTACCATTCATAAATAACTTCACATGTACTAGTGCTGTGCCAGTTCCTCCAAGTGAATTTCACTGACGTTCACTGCAACCCTGCGAGGCAGGTCGAAGTTAAACCTCCTAATTCATAGAGAAAGTAGTGTTGCTGGGAGATTGTTGACCTCTGCCCCTCCCCGTCCATCTAGTCTGTCCCTTTGCAGCTGATTGTCCTGTTGGACAGGATCATGGGCAGCCCTGAGGGTCCTTCCCAGGGCACCAAGGGTAAAGGTCACTGCAGGTGACTATGAAGGCCACACCTCACTTGGATCCCTCAAGGTCAACTGTCAGGGCCATGGTCCACCCCTTCACTGACTGGCTCTGCAGGACACCGTGGTCCAGAGGATGAATTCACCGTGACCCCATCACACAGGGTTGAGAAGAGACCACTGACCCCTTTCTAAACCAGCCTGTGACCTGTGAGCACAGAGCAGACCCAACCTCCTACCTCACACCTGAAGGGCCTCTGTGAGCAGGACTGTGGGAGGAAGGGGGCAGGTGGGCATCAGTGGAATTTTTATCACATGGTGGGAACCATGTCCAGGAAGGGACACCCACCGCTGATCACCCACTGAGGTTCCTGAGGTTCCTGTCACATGTGGGTCCTGGGGCAAGGCCACTCTTCCTCATCATGGTCACTGTGGCTCTTCACCATGTGTCCCCTCCCCCCACATGTGAGTGTCATGTCAATGTACTAAATAAATTTGTCACTCATCTTTACTCTTCAGTGGAGCTTCTTCTCATTTTAAGCCCCACTGTTAGCTCACCACGTTCACAGGTTATTGTCCCTAAAATTTTTCTAAATATCTTTAGTGTACTAAATTTCTGCTTTTGTTTTAATAATCATAAATTTCATGACCTCATATGACACAAATCTATTGTCTCACAATTCTCTGGGTCAGGTGTCCAGCATGGCTTTCACCAGACTGTATTCAAGGTGTCTGCAGGCTGGGGTTTTGTGTGTTTTGAGGACCCAGGGACCAGTCCATGACTTGCTGGCTCTGGTTGCTGGCAGAGCTGGGTTCCCTGCAGTGACGGGACCCAGGTGGCCTTCTTCCTGCTGTCAGAAGAGCTGAGACCACTCCAGGCTGGGAACGTCTGGGATCGTTCTCTCAGGGACAGATGTGGGAGAACAAGTCAAGTGACAGGAACATGGGGAACGATCCAGGGCCATTTAGTGAGCTCACTTGAGGCATAACAAGGACAAACAACCTTTGTGGGTGAAGACATTCACAAGGGAGGCTGGCCCTGGTCATTCACAATTCACTGCCCATGACAACCGCATCTACTGCTGTCATTTTCAACAAGGCAGGTGCTGTGAGGAGGCCATCATGAGCCTGATGGTGGCAGGTGTGTCATTTCCCTTCTTTCAGTGGCTTTTTCACAATGTGACTCTTGCAGAATGTTTCTCCCTCAACCTCAGGCCCCCACAGACGAGTAGATGTTTGTCTAGCATCCCCTCTACCTGGCAGGGTGGCTTCCTCCTCCTCAAGAGCTGAGTGACTGGGTGTGTCCTGAAGAGCTGTGGGCATCGAGTCTTGAAAAGCCAGGGAGCTCATGGGGGCCATGAGCAGGGGAGAAGGTGGAACCCCATGGAGTGCGTCCCTGCTGCTGCTCAGAGATCTCCAGGGGTCCTTGTCTGTCACATGCATGGGGATTAGACATTTTAAACATGTTTGTCTGTCACAGGCCTGGGGTCCATGCCCCTCACTGAAATGAAGGGCCACAAGGATGGGGAGGTCCGGCTGAAGCGCACCTGCACAGGGAGGTACCCAGAGCCCCATGCAGTGTGGGGGACTCCTGTGGCTGGTATATGCCAGCCCTGGATAATGCTCACACCGAGGACACAGATGGCCTCCACAGGGTCACCATGACCGTGATTGTCGAGGACAGCTCTGTGAGGAATGCATCCTGTTTGGTGAACAACACCCTGCTGGGCCAGGAGAGGGACACTGTGGTCTTCATTCCAGGTCAGTTCCCTGCCCTCTGGGGGCCCAGCCCGTGGACACAGGACCCTCAACAGACACTTGGAGCCTGAGTGGGGCTGGGGGAGGGGCAGGGCTGGGAGGGTCCTGGGCCCTGAGGAGCTGAGGCTGCAGCGGAGCTGAGGCCTCTCCCCTCCTCACAGGGAGGCGTCCTTATTAAAACATTTTGATTTTTTTTAAAACATTGGATTTCCCTCAACATGGTGATTCATTCATTTATAACTGTTATAAACATAATTGAGACTGTTTACATAAATAAGTTTTTTTCTTTTGCTGCATCTCCCAGATGGAACAGCATTTTAAAACATTCCTGAAGAATGATGTCGTTGTTGATGCTGTGTCCACTGCTGGTGTGTCGGGAAATCCTCGTGGACTTAACTCTGGAGAACGTGTCCCATGTCACCTGTGTTCATCATTTGTAGAAGGAATGTGGGTTTGTCACTTTGTTTCTAGTTGCAGAGAAAGTCAGGGCCAGAGAAGGCCAAGGTGGGGACACTCGGGACTCCAGCCGGTTTGGGGCGAGCTGAGCTGACTTGCTCATCCTTAAGAAAAGCAAATGACGGTAGTGATGCCTGTGTCCCTGTCTCAGTGTCACTGTGAATCAGCTCAGGTCTGATTCAGTGATAATTAACCTGCCCTGTGACGTCACATGTGTGTTTATATCCACGGTGTGACAGGGACCCTTTTCCAGGAAAACACTAAACTAATAGTGTCTGAGAGGTCGTGCCCACGAGTGCAAATGGGTGCAGGGTTGGGGGGCACACGGAAAACCTGGGGTACAGTGGGAGGTGTTTTCATCAGGGGGGAGACCAGCACAGCGGCTCTCAGGCTGCTCCCTGTTGAGTTGTGACCGCAGTTCAGCGTTGTCATCGTGTGTCTCAGGGAGAGGCCCTTGGCCATCGGCTGGCACGGAGGCCCCAGCACGGAGCCTGCTCCTCGCCCGGCTTCCCCCTCCCAGGCCCGCAGCCCCCCTCCCCCGTCTTCCTCTGACGAGGTTCTGCCAGCGTCACGTGGTCTCCCACGGGGACCGTCTGCGCGTCCATTTTCTGTTTTCCTTGTGCTGAGTGTGTGTGTGTGCTCACAGACGCTGGCATCATGTAGACGGAATGTGCCAGGAGGGCCTTCCCACTGCTGACGGGAAGCCGTCCCCTCCCACGGGGCCCTGGTTACATTACTGGGGGTCTCACCGCCCGACGAACGCCACGCGTTGTTCAGACTCAGATGTCTTTGTGCTCTTCTCTCCGGGCCTCTTTGAAAACACTAAGTAAAACCACGTGGTCAGTGTTTCTGGGACCCTCCAGCCCTCCCCCTCTCTTCCTTCAGGACACGAGAACAGGACGGACTCACATTAAGTGTCTGTTCTCACCGCACTCCTCACTCTCGGCTGCACCCGTGTGCTCCGGTGCCTCGGCTCATGTATTCTGCCGCCACACACACCCCTTTCTTGGCCCGCTGTTTTCCAGTGCACACACGTGTGTGTGTGCTGACACAGTCAGTCATACATGCACATTCACTTTCCTTAACATGGCATCAGCCCCTGCTCGTAGTAAGACATTATTTGCACACACAAAAAACCCTGTGAAAAGACAGCAGAGTTTGCAGCAAAAGAGGGGAGGGCCCTGCAGGGAGGGGGGACAGAGGCCAAGACTGAAGCAGAAGCAGGTCACGCGCAGCGGACCAGGTACGTCCTCACGAGGAACCGTGGAACTGAGAGGGTCAGGGGGTCGGCGTGCGGGCGGCAGCCGGGAGCGCCAGGGAACCTGGGACTCCACTGGGGGAGCCGCCCGCGGCCGTGCCTGCAGGGACAGTCGGGGACCGGCCAGGCAGCGGACACCACCATGTGGACGCCGGAACCACCGCTCCGGCGAGGAGGAAGGAGATTTTCCTGGCAGGTGACCCAGGGCTGAGACGAGGCCGAAGGCACCCAAGGCCCCAGAGCGGACAGTTGTCCCTGGAACTTAAAGGTGCTCAGTGAGAGGGACATTTCACTCATGTCATCAGGTGAAACAGTGACACACACCATGTGTGGGGTGGGCGACTCTTCTCTAAAAACCACCCGCAGAGAAAGGTGTGGGATCCTTTTGAGTCTGCAAACCCTCTTCACATGTCAACCCTCGTCAGCAGCATCCTGATGCCACAAGACCTGAGTTTTCCTCCATTCTGCACACACTCCTGGTGAATTACTGAGAGAAGAATAAATAGGATTTGGGGACCTTTCAGACAGGTCTCATTCAGTGATAATTAACCTGCCTAGAATTTGGAAGTGAAACTCGACTCTTAATTTCCTGACAGAAGCTCAGGTTTCTCTCGCTCACGTGTGGGTGCATCAGGCAGTTCACAGGCATCCGGCGGGGCCCTGTCAGCTCAGCCGGGGGTGGGGGGGCTCCATGTTTATACCAGTGGGTTCCAGTCTTCACTCGGCAAAGCCACACTCAGTGTTCTGATGCTTTTCAGAAGATCTGTGTGGACTGGCACACGTGAAACTTTGCACAAACGGCACAGGTGCATGTTCCTTGGAGTCCACGCTGTGGACAGCGGGGTTGCGGGGCTGCAAGTGTTGCCCCCGCTGCTGTAACCGGTGCCAGAGCCTTTGACCGAGGCCCAGTCTGACTCCAGGCCTTTCTCCCAGGTGTCGGCAGACGACCAGCTTTGACACCAGGGGGCCCGCTTCTCTGCATGGTGCCAGTGCCGTGTGCACACACGTGACTCCACATGCACACTCATGACCCCACGTGCTCAGGCGCTATCGTGTTTCACGGGGAGGAGGGCCTGTGCTTCTCTGAGAATCGCTGTCTGGGCCATTTAGACTCTGAGCTGCTCAGAGAGACGGAGTGTGAAGGGCGTTTTTATACACGTGTTTGTTTCCGGGAGAAAACTCCCACCTTCCCACGTACACGCGCCTGCGTCACTGGCTTGTCCCTCACACGGGGGTCTCCACATGAGGTCCCCACACATGCTGAGGCTCCGGGTGGCACTGAGCACATGGGACCTCAGGGGTGCCGAGAAAACCCAGCACCGTGGGGACCACCTCGGAGTCACCTGGCCAGACTGGCCGCAGGTGGAAGGGCTTTGCCACCTGACGCGACCCCTCGAGGAGTAAACGATGACTGACACGCGACCTGCTTCCCTTCCAGCGGTGACCTGCCCTGGCATCGAGGCCCAGCTGTCTGAGCACGTCACCTGGAGGCTGGTGTCGGGGGCCCTGAACGAGTTCGGGGCCCAGGTGGTTCTGCCTGGAGGGTGGCCGGCTGGTGCGGTGCCAGGCAGACGGGACGTGGAGCTCCGGCGAGGAGAGGCCTCGGTGCAGAGGTGAGTGCGGGGCGTGCTCCCTCCCGCCCCCCGGGAGGCAGCCCCGCAGGTCACAGGTCAGTGCAGCGGATCCTGTAGATTCCTGGCGGGGGTGGGAATCTCTTTCCACAACAATGAAGAATGTGCATCGAAGGCACCATTCTTAAGGTGTAAACTGCTGGATTGCACGCTAAATGCCGTCTTCTCCTGGTCAGTGATAGTGTTTTGTAAACTTCGAAATCAGTCCCGAATCCAGGCCGGTTTGCATTTAAAAAGACAGCCCATCATGCGTACAGTGGCTGCTCGGCCTTCTCCTTAAACCCCCGGGAAACCGCATTTGCGCTGAAGCCGCTGTGCTCCCTGGACCGACTGTGTCGTTATTCCCCACTGGGATGGGGCAGGCAGGGTGTTGAGTCGGTTTCATAGTAAATACGAACAGGCAGGAAGGCAAGGCAGCGTCACTGCCGTTCGGAGCACAGTTCGATCGGGCCTGTTGAGCGGACAGCCTCTGGTCGCTGGTTCTCGGGAGATGGTCACGCCCAGAAACAAGGGGTCGGGCCCTG